TCTGTTATTTCTGATTTTAAATGTAAATGCATTTTATACATTTGCTAGTTCATCAGCTCATATTTTTCTTTAGTTTTTCTCTTAACCATCTCTTCACTCATGAGACTCCGAATGTTATCCTACCTAGTACACAAAGTACTTTCTGGTGAGATGTGAACCGCGACACCTGTAAATACCATTATTTCACATTTGTAATGTTTCAATTTATGCTCAACTCAACTGTAAGAACATGAATTTATGTTTTCACCAAAAAGAACGAAATCCTTGATCTTTGAAATGAGTTGTATTAATAGATGGGGACGTTTCAGGTAGAGTCGATGAAATCACACCTGTTGTTGATAATTCTTGTTGTTATAATTCTTTCCAACATCCATGTCAATTGTTCCACATTATATCTTACCGTAATGTTATGTTTCAATACATATATGATTGTAAGCCTCTGATGAGAAATCACGAAATATAATAAATTCATATGTTAGACACTATCACCATTAGGTGCTGGCTCAGTGGTCCAGTAGGTTAATCGTTTGCGCGCGAGACCGAAAGCCCTGGGTTCGAATCCCACGAGCGGAATCGTGGATGCGCACTGCTTAGGTGTCCCACAATAGGACGAAACGGCCGTCTAGTGTTTCCAGGTTTCCAAAGGTGGTCTAACATCAATCGGTTCATGATCTCAATCAGAAACATAATAATCTCCACGACCCCTTTACTAGAATTTCATACTATTTTACCCAATTCTTGTTTTGGCTTTATTCAAATTCATAAAGAAAACTAATTGCATGATACAGAATGAATTTTGAAAAAGCTAGAACTCTCAGAGTTCCAGATTGTTGTTACTATTTATATCTTTATTGTATAATTAGTAAAGGACTTTATTGTTATATTTCTATATCCCTCTTATTGTAAACTTCTAGTGAACCTATTAACTGTTGTTATATATTTTACTATTTCTTAATTATTGCCAATTGATTGTGTATTGTTAGCTTCGCTCTCTATCACTTGTAGTACAATTGTGCTTAAAGTGTGAAATTTGATATGGGCTAGAAAGAGGCTTGATGACCAACTAGCGTCTCGACCCCGGTCGTCGTTAATCGATCGGTGTGTAAATTCGTGGAATAGGTCACCAGTAGGTGATATAGACTAGAAATTCTCAAGCCTCGATAAGTCCGTGCCAACTATTACTCAAGATACAACATAAATGATATTGAATAAAAATAGGTTGTACTTCATATCATTATTATCCCTTACTAATTAATGCCTGCTTATCATCCAGCTGACGGTTCCCTAACAGAATGAAACGCTCACATTGGATTCCACAGTTTATTTCAATTTATCTATTCTGTAAAACAGTTGAAGTTGTTCAGATGCACTCAATAATTATCTTTTAACTTTCAAGTTTTTGTAGTGTTTAATATATTCGACTGCATTTAGATAGAGTAAAGTAATCCGCAGAACTTTTAAAAACACAAGTAGAGTTAACATTTATTCTAGATAAAACCAAAACCAGACAAATAAGACAAAATATTACAATTATTTCCCAAATTTTACAACTGAGGTACTTTGAAAATATTTACAATTAGAGTAATAAATCAATCACCTTCAATTATGAAACTTCTTACTACAAAATTTGCTGAACACAAGCGATTTAAGGTGATCCAACGATTACGATGAAGATTGCCAAACCCGCATAGTAGACCCAACAAAGAGGAATAATTGACTAGAAAAATTGTTCATCATATTACAATATAAGGGAATAAACTACCATGTCTAAATCCCATGAAGTTTAGGTTACTTGAGAGGAGTAGAAAATAATCAATCATTAAACAGATCAAATGCAATATTAAAGGAATAGAGGATGACCAACAATAATAACCAAGTGACCATTAGCTTCGAGATGTCATTCCTCCAGTTCTAGTGAGAAGTCATGATCAATAAAGTTCAAACACATGTGATGTAAGACAGTGATACACGACAGGCAATGAATTAAGATTACACAGTATTATAAGTTGATGGAAGTGAGAACTATACACCACTGGATACCACTCATTGATGTAGTGGTTAATTGTTCGTTTGCGAGGCCGAAGTTTATGAGTTTGATTCCCGATTGCGCGGTCGTTGATGCGCAATGGTGTTCTATAAAAACCTCTTTACTAATTTCATTTCTATTTTGTCTCAATAAATAATTTTCTTTATGCTTAGTTTTCAATGTCAATGATATTATTATTATTATTATTCCAGTTAGGTTTATTTCATTGTGCTTATTTTTTGTTTCTTTATCTCTCTATTTCTATCTTCCTCTGTTTTTCGATGTACTGATATAGAGTGCGTTAACCTGAGCAGATGGACATGTATTTCAAGTTGCGCTCTACTTATGATTGATGAAGTGACCTATAGAGAGAGAAATAATAAGCGTTAACTTATTACTTACTTAATCAAGTCTCTTCATTGGTATTTATGTTTGGTTCTATTGATGTATACACCTCAGAAGGTTCAAAAAGCTGAAGGAAGTATAAAGCATTATACTGGATTAAGTTAGCTATACAAAACTTTTGGAAAATAAACGATACTCCACTAATAACAGACAAGGTTGATGGAAAAAGTTATACAAAGTAAACAGTAAAAAAAGGTGAAATAAGATTGAATGTCCTAAAAAGTATGAAGGGATAGGACTAGTGTAATGATTCTAGACATTAATCAACTTACCAAGCAATTTGTAACTATGCGATGTATGCTACTTATTCTGACAAATATAAATAGTATGTAACACCAGTTGGAAGTGGAATGGTTGACAGCAGTAGATTGAATTGAAGAGAATAGGAAGGAAATCGGAGAGTAGTCAAATGTATTATGTAAGGAACAACGTGAAGACGATGTGTAAATGATGTATTTAATGTATAATTTTCATATTCGCCTACTATGTAGTTTTCAACCAAACAATAAACTTAGTTTCCGTTGAATACAGCGATAAAATACTCAGTGATTAGATTGATCAAAGCAACTTGTGTTTAAGGTCAATCATACTTGTAGATGAATTTTCCAACCTTGGTTTTAAAAGCGTTCTGAGTTTAAAATTTGTTAGACTGATGAATTCAAAATTGATTTTTTGCTTGTTTTACATTGCTTTAATTAGATGGATTATTGCTAAAGCATTCATTAACATGTAGAATAATATTGTCAGTATCTTTATTATTTTCTATTTCTTGATTGAATAATAATCATGTGATCACTATCTGGTTTCTTCATGATGGTTGATTTTTTGAAACTCCTATGAAAAGTTATTATCAGTATGGGGTTGCGGAGATTGTTAAGATTTCGATTGAGATCATAAATCGATAAAGATGGATTTTGGACCATCATTCAAAATCTGGAAGCACTGGACGGCCGCTTCGTCCTAATATGAGACTCCTCAGTAGTGCACACCCACAATCCCGCACGTGGGATTCGAACTCAGGACCTTCGGTCTCTCAATTCATGATCTCAATTGAAAAGCTATTATCTATAAAGTCAATGAAGTCGAAAGTGATGTAATAAAATCATATATGGCATTAAACCTATGGGGTATTATTTGATGAACTGAAATACATTTGTAAATAGATATCACTGAATAAATAATGTGATGATAAGCATGACACATTTAATAACCCAGGCACTATCAGTTCAACTTATTTCAGGTAGTATAACATCAAAAAGGTTCATGAAACAGTTTATTTAGTACAACTAATCACACTTGGAATAATAACCAGGCCATGATACAGAGTACAATTCAAAGCAGAAAGAATATCTAAAATCATTCAATCACTAGAGAAACAAACAAGCAAAAATACATTCTTCAGCAGTTAAGTTATATGTTCACGAGTACAAAAGTAAGAATACTTCAAGACTAATAATCATTCTAACAAAAACTCTTTGTTCCGGAGTGACACAACAACTCTGGAATTCAGGGATATCCAGCTGACGAGCCCTTAACAGGACGAAACGTGCGTTCTGGATTCCACTGCTAGCCACCATTCATCTTTGCTTATAATATTTGTGACTTCAAGCAATATTGAGGCAATTCGTGCACGATGCATAAATGCCAATAAGTGACTAATCAGTTGTAGTCCTAAACATCGACGGTAAGATACAAACAAACAATACAAAATGAATTTAACTCTCTCTCTCTCTTTAAAACTATCTTGACACCAAACATTACAAAAAATATACATTTTTAGGGTTCTTACAAATAGATCAGTTTTACAACTGGATAATCTATTTGTTATACTACATTATCTTGTATTATAGCTTATGAGTTACTGTTGGAAAACTAAGTTTTTTTCAATATCAAAACTTCCCTTTATCAAGGTTTATGTTAGAGAAAAGAAACGCTTGTAATTAATTCAACCCTAATGTCAATTACCATTTCTTTCATTCACAGAAAGATATAATCTAAAATTATGATTCACGTTTTTAAATGCTTAAGTATTATTCATCATACTGTATACGTGATTATGTCAGTATTTCTTAGATCATATTACTAACTATGCGAAACAAACAGTTATTATTTTGGAAATAACTTCAGTATATCGACTATGTTTTCTAGCATTCATTCGGATATTTTTGACCTTTGATAAGTAAACTATTTTGTGTTTAAATTATGGCAGAAATTCATTTTAAAACAATTTCTCGAATTCTGCATATATGGATAGATGCGTAGTCATGTCTCCCCACTAGATACGCACATACAAATCAATGTAAAGGGCACAAAATTCTGCTAGTAATAACTGAAATGAATCTGACTAGAATGAAATTAGAGATGAACATATATATATATACATACATACATACACACATACATACATACACACACACACAGGAACTTTCATATATATCAATGGTGATAATTGTAAAATTGGGTATGCACCAATAAAAAGTCTTATTCGGTAGTATATGGCCTCAATGACCATAAATGGATATAAGTTAAAAATAAAAATGAATAAATTGTAGTAGATTATTGTAAAGTTATCATACTGAATTGTTTATTTGCGCGACAGTTGAAGTTGGGATATAATCATGGCCGACGAAGAAGTTCAAGCCCTTGTTGTTGACAATGGATCAGGGATGTGCAAAGCTGGATTCGCTGGTGATGACGCACCAAGAGCAGTGTTCCCTTCCATCGTTGGACGACCTCGACATCAAGTAAGCATAGTCATAACATTCATTCAACAAATCAATTTCTCATTTTATTGTATTAATCTATTATCATATTACAGTCATATTATCATTTTAAGTTGATGGGATTGTATTTAACAATGTCTCGGTTAGAATAGTTGTGATACCTACAACACAGTGATAAGATATCGAGATATCCATCCGTGTTACTTCACTGTGAAACACTTATCACAATCACTCTAATCATACATTGTTGTTGTTGTTGTTGTTGGTGTTGTTGTTGTTGGTATATGCCAACTGTATTCGACAATGAAATATAATTTGAAGCTTGGTTTGAATGCTTATTTCTCTCTGTTTCTCTCTCTATCTGTCCTTATATCTCAGGGTGTGATGGTCGGTATGGGTCAAAAAGACAGCTACGTTGGTGACGAAGCACAATCGAAACGTGGTATTCTCACACTGAAATACCCAATCGAACACGGCATTGTGACGAACTGGGATGACATGGAGAAGATCTGGCATCACACATTCTACAATGAATTGCGTGTGGCTCCAGAAGAACACCCGGTCCTGTTGACCGAGGCTCCATTGAATCCGAAAGCCAATCGTGAGAAGATGACCCAAATCATGTTTGAGACATTCAACACACCAGCCATGTACGTGGGCATTCAAGCTGTACTGTCACTGTACGCATCGGGTCGTACAACTGGTATTGTGTTGGACTCTGGTGATGGTGTGACACACACTGTTCCGATCTACGAAGGTTATGCCCTACCACATGCTATCCTGCGTCTGGATCTGGCTGGTCGTGACTTGACTGACTACTTGATGAAGATTTTGACGGAACGTGGTTACAGCTTCACGACCACAGCCGAGCGAGAAATCGTGCGTGACATCAAGGAGAAACTGTGCTATGTGGCTCTTGACTTTGAACAGGAGATGGCCACTGCCGCGTCCAGCTCATCTCTGGAGAAGAGTTACGAACTGCCTGATGGTCAGGTGATCACGATCGGTAACGAACGATTCCGTTGTCCTGAGGCGTTGTTCCAACCAAGTTTCTTGGGTATGGAATCTGCTGGTGTTCATGAGACCACATTCAACTCAATAATGAAGTGTGATGTGGACATCCGTAAAGATCTGTACGCGAACACTGTGTTGTCAGGTGGTACGACAATGTTCCCAGGTATTGCTGATCGTATGCAGAAAGAGATCACTGCATTGGCGCCGAGCACAATGAAGATCAAGATAGTTGCTCCACCTGAGCGAAAATATTCCGTTTGGATTGGTGGTTCTATTTTGGCCTCATTGTCTACGTTCCAACAGATGTGGATTTCCAAACAAGAATATGATGAATCTGGTCCTGGTATTGTTCACCGTAAATGCTTCTAAGTTATATTATGAAGTAAATAATGTAATATTTATTCTCGATCTCGTGCAATAAAACCCTGAAATAAATTTGCCTTTGACCCACCTTTTTACTTGTTCTCCATGTTTTTTGCGTTTCTTGAGTTAAGCTTCATGAAATAGGAGACCATGTTTTTGTAATTTTGTGCTGAATACTTTAAAGATCTTAGGTGATCTCTAATTTGATGCATTTACATCGGTTTTTTGTCTTTGACAATAAGGACGATAGTGAAATTTATTGAAATATACATAGTGCTGAAGCACTAGTCGCTGTTCATTATTCATTTCGTCGACTTCTGTGTTTGTGATGTGTACTTTTCAAAGCTGGTCGGTATTAAGTTGTAGGTGATTAGAGTTGACTGAAGAGTTATTCACATATTTTGCAGCCAGTAAGTCATGTTTTGCAACTCTACATTTTGGCTGTAAAGAAAATTTACGCGATAAACTTTACGACTGAGTTATTTATGGTAGGTGGTCACTCAAAAAACTAACACCGTTGATGACCACAAATAGATGGATCTCATTAGACTTTCAAGGTAATTTTAATCACAGGTTAGTTAGCTTAGGGGTCATCCTTCATAATTTGAGTGGTGCTGTTAGCGAAACAGTTAGAAACAAAATGTAATGTATATTAATAACCCATGAATTAACTTATCTATAGTTTAGGCTGTAGTGAATTAAATCGACAGTAATAATGAAACCAGATCAGACTTGATAACAATCCTCATGACTTTTAATAATGTGAGGATACAGTCTATTGCGACATCATAATGGAAAGTCTTTAAAACCGTTCTAATCTTTCCCTGCTGGAATAGAAATCCTCCAAGTTAATTTTGTTATTCTGGAAATGAGATTTTACTTGGAGTGAGTTTCTCCACAAAAACATTTAGATTTTATCGCGTATGCATTCCCCGAATTGAGTTTTTGTAAGGATGTACACATAAATTTGATCTGCTACTCCTATATTTGGCATGTCTGTTTTTCGGTCTACAATCGAGTCTGCCAATAAAGAATTTCACAGTGTTAATTAAAAATAACGTTTAGGATTATTCTCTTTCTGACGAAAACTTTTAGATTTAAGGATCGCATCTCATTTATCAGTTAATAAAAATTCAATAAGCATTCAAAATTGACATGATTTACAGATTTATGATCCAGTAAACTGTTTTGAGTGGATAAACTGGTAATATTTATCTACAGTGAATCAAAAGTAGATTTACATTTTGTCGGCTGTTTTAGAATCGAATTGTTGCGATCTATGATTTATTTTATTAGTAAACATCAGAATTTAAATATGACTAAATGATGTCATGTTTATTGCTGTTACTTCTGTCATATTTACCCAATCACTGGAGCATAGGTCGCCGAACAGAGATCTCAGTCCAGTCCCGTCCTCTGATCTCCTTTCCTAAATGTTACTATCTTTTGATATCTGTCACCGATTCCTGAACCAATGTGTTCCCTGGTCTGCTTCTCTTCCTTTCACCTTGACGATTCCAATTTAGGGTTTATCTTCGGTGTAGTTTGATAATTTCCGCAATATTGTACTATCCACTTCCAGAGTCTTTTCATAATTTCCTCCTCAGCTGGGAGCTAATTTGATTTCTGCCACATTAGGTTATAGTTGATGACTTCAAATGAAGCTACTAACTCTGCTGCTGCACTTTTTTCACATAATAACTGATAAACTCACTTTTGCAAACACCTATGTAACAAAGAGAAAGCTTTGAAGGGTGGTTATATGTATTGTCATTTTGCTCGAGTTCATAGTTCACGTAACTACTATATATATACCACTTCATTCTCGGCTTAAAGATTTGTTATCAGAATGGGGGTTTAAGGAGATTGTAGTAATTTTAATAGTTGAATTCATGAGTCGGTTTAAGCTAGACCACCGTTGGAAACATGGAAGCAATGGACGACCGTTCCGTCCTATATGAGACTCCTCAGCAGTGAGCATCCACGATCCTCATGAGGGACTCGAACTCAACACCTTCAGTCTCGCGCACGAACGCTTAGCCTCTAGACCACTGAGCCGGCATCCAACGGTGTTAATATCTAGCTTCAATCGATCCATGATCTTGCGCGACCCTTCATTCATTGTCTGAGGTAGATACATGTTTCTACCCAACACGGATTGGACTCCACTGATCACAGCTTCTCACTATGACTCCAAGAAATACATTTGAAGTTAGTCACTAATATACATCTGCTGATTATTATTCGGATGGGGGGTTTATGGAAAATGTAGTAATTTTGATAGTTTTATTGAGATTACTACAATCTACGGAAACACCCCGATTCTGATAATAATAAATAAATAAATTCGCAGTACAAATGTACAAACTTGATTATCAGTTTATGCCATAGGGTTTCATATTTTCAGCTTGTCGGGCTACTTTCAACAGCCTACGCAATATTCATTCATTTCTACCAGTTAACGTGTATCACATGCCATGTGACTAGATTCAACTTTTAATCTTGTTTTTAGCTGAAATGTTCTATCAGTGTTAATTTTATGAACTCATAATTAATTGTGGATCGATTTTAAAGTAACTTTAGATGGTACCAAAAGATCTAGAAATAGTAAGCATATAAATAGTTTTACATATTAGATCTGTTGTATCCATGTCAATCAATTAGAACCTATGTACGTTCCAATGTTATTGCACAACTTCTCAGACCGATTTAGACAATATTTAATAAGTTTAAGTCATTATTAAGTAAACATCATGGTCTTGATGAAAGTAAAACGATTCCGAAAACATATTAGTCAGATATTTCGTGGTAGTACCTAAACATTCTCAGACTTTCTATTCAATAGTGTTAAATCAGAAACGATTGGAGACGCTTAATAAATTATATTTAGTTTTAGAGTTACATATAAATTTAAAAGCGAACAGTTCTCTTTTAAGTGGTAGTGAAGCATACCATTCACAAGGTCACTTAAAAATGTTAAATATACAATATATTAGATATTCATAGGTATCAGTGCCATGGTTGGACTTGATAGTTTTAAATAAATTGACCATTGGGTGGAAAATTAATAATAAATATATTTTTTTACATCCCAATGAGTAGAAAAATCGTATTTCTGACGTTTCGTCACTTAATGTAAGCCACTTCTTCAGAGTAAATAAATAACCGAGCTAAGTTGACACGAGTGTAACTGGTACAAAGGAAACAATGCAGAATATTTTTGGTTCAATCAAAATCATAATAGGTCCGAATATGTTAATGTCAAGTTATTCTTGGTCAAGGTGAATTCGTATGACCTGTCACTGTAATAATTTGTATGTCAGAGTGTGGGTATGAAAAATGTATGCATTTGTAAAATTAAGTAATGTGGTTGAAACTGGGTGTGTGTATATATGCATGGATTGTGTAAAAAATAAGATCAGATGTTGTTGTTTGGACAAATAGTTCAGCTTGGATTAATATTCTGGCCTTCTTTCTTATTATGTGCAAGAGGATGCCGGTTCAGTGGTCTAGTTGGTTAAGCGCCCGGAGCGAGACCGATAGGTCCCGGGTTCGAATCCCGCGGGGAGGGGTTGTGGATACTCACTGCTGAGGAGTCCCACAATAGAACGAAACGACCGTCGAGTGCTTCCAGGTTTTCCATGGTGGTCTAGCTTCAATTGACTTATGATCTCAACTGTTGAAATAATGTGGAATGTTTCGGCTACTCTCCTCACTTTGTAGTTTATTATTTTGATATTTTTATTGTAAAAGATATTTGTTATATGTTATTGCTTTAGATATGTACCCGTTAGCCAAAGAATTTAGATTTACTATAATCACTTATTTAATCTAAAAACTACTAATTTAGACGAACTTGTTAGTATCCTGTTTATAGTTTTCTGAATAATGCCAAATGTAGGAGAGTACATTATTAGCGAAATTTATGAGTGCTGACTATCAATAATTCTCAACCACCTATCTGGAATTCAACTTGAATAGTTGCATTTTTCTGGTAAATGTGAATAAAATATTTTTTCTAGATTACGGTAAACAATTAAAAAAGCTGTAACTAGTGAAGTTCAACCGAGTGTGTTGTGAGATAGCAACCCACTGAAGATAATGGTAGACGGTCGCGCAATATCGTGGATTGATTGAGGTTAAACATTAACACAATTCGATGCCTGCTCAGTGGTCTAGAGGCTAAGCGTTCACGCGCTAGACCGAAGTTCCTGGGTTTGAGTCCCGCGTGTGGGATCGTGGATGAGCACTGTTTAAGAGTCACACACTGGGAGGAAACGACTGTCCAGTGCTTCTTCAATGTTTTCAATGGTAGTCTAACGTTGATCTATACATGATATCAATCTAAATAATTATAACCTATTGAGAAATCTCCACTTATTTTTCTTCTGATCACTACTATAAAAGTAGTTCATATAGAGAGTATTTTATTGACCGAAAGATAGTAAATGCTTTAAAGATTTACAGTTTATGATTACCTTTTGGTCACCCTCCATATTACTGAGCCACAAACCTTAATGGAATAGTGTTTTTCAGCTAGTTGGTAATGAGTTAACTGTGTTCATTTGTTCTTGATTAGATATGAAGTATTTTGTCTTCAGGAGTAAATTCCTTCTGTCAAAATTTTCTAAGAATACCTAGACTTTATTAGAAGTCTTTCATAAGTGATGATATAGGTAACTTGACTCTAATAGTTGGTTAAGCTATATTTGGGCACTGATATAGAGGGCCTCGAAGTGTATACACATGGCTTTGAGTGTCGAGCAAAGTAATTTTGTCATCGTTTGCTTCCAAAACCCTACTATCCTCAGTGAACACAAGTTTATTTGCTGAGACAACAAACATACGCAATAACGAAGCTGAATTAAATCAGGAAGGACTTAGGTAAGCTGGGGAACAACAACTACATGTACCTACATTCGTACCTTCTGCCCACAATAAGTATTTAGACATACACATAGAGATACATAAATATTTGAATAAATAAAAAATGTTTTTATATCAGCATATGAATACATATCAATCGCAATATAAGCACTGGTGTACATGGATACATAAAATAAACAATAAGTGACATACGTGCAAATGA